ATACATAACTTTCGTTATAATTAATTAATTAATTAATTAATTACTTAATCTCGATATCTAAAAAATTAAATTAAAGGAAAAACAAAATGAAAGATCCATGATCGTAAGACTATATATATATATATAGTTTTATATATATATATATATATATATATATATATATATAATACCATGCTTAGTTGTTAATAAACTACTACCGTTCATAATAATCATAATTATCTAAGTAAAACGGAATAACTCATAATGAATTCAGTACATGATTTATTCGAGAATCGAACAGATATTGATAAAAAAGCATTGATAAGAAAGTAACGTAATACATATGTATATATATATATATATATATATATATATATATATATATATATAAATATATATGTACATCTATACAGATAAATATAATATATGCGTAAGCACATATAAATCAATGCTACTGAATTCATTGTGAGCCGGCGTCGATCGATGTAAGCCCTACTGCCATTATTAAATCTATTCTACAATAGGAGGCCGACATTTCACTGTGTGTATTTGTACGTGTGTGAGACGTCAGTGCTTTTTCTTACAGTCTTTACACTATCTAAATACATATACATATACATCGTATATGTATATATTGTGAGAGTAAAGTTATATTCTCTCTCTCTTTCTCTCTCTCTCTCTCTCTCTCTCTCTCTCTCTCCCACTCTCTTTTTCCTCCGTTATTCATTAGCCACTTCTGATAAGAAATTCATCGACGTTGTTTCGAGAGTCGAGAAAAAGAAAAAAAAAAGAAAAATAAAAATAAAAAGAGAGAGAGAGAGAGAGAGAGAGAGGATTGAAATAAAAATTCTAATATATGTTTAGACGTATGTATGTGTGTGTGTCGGTGGGTAGGTTTATATGTATATATGTACATACTATTAGCGTGCGAGAGAAAGAGAGAGAGAGAGAGAGAGAGAGAGAGAGAGAGAGAGAGAGAAGGAGAGAAAAGTAAATCTACTACTCTTCTTCTCTCTCTCTCTCTCTCACGTGCTTTAGAATCACGCTTTTTGAGATTCGAATTATTTTTCCGTCTTCTCGCCCTGCATTCCGATGATAATAAATAATAATATTCGCGAGTACTATACCGACGGTTTGTGCTAGTACTGAAAGTGTAACTGTGATAACCGTGATCGTGATTTGTGTGATGGCAATAGTGATAATGATGGTGATAATGGTGGTGGTCGGTGGTAATGGTGAGTGGTGGTGGTAGTGGTGCTGATCGGGATAAAAAAAAGTATGTCTCCAGTACGCAAAAATAATTTCTTCTCCCATCGAAAATTACTATACAATAGTGGTAAATAATAGTGATAACGTTTTACTCTTTAAGTTTCTATATTTTTTATTTATTTATTTTTTCTTTCTCTTATGAGGCTCGTGTCGTTTCGAAAATGGAAACAAAAAAAAAAAAGAAAAAAAGAAAATAAAAGAAAAGAAGAAAATTATCAACGAGCATTCTTTTTTCGATGAGAAAAATATCGGCCTTAAAGAGAAAAGTCGATATCTCTGATATCGATATCAGATTGATAAAAACATCAACGAAGGAGAAACGTTGTACAGACGACGATGACGAGGAGGTGATAACGATGACTACAATGACGACGTTGACATTGACGGGGGAGTTTCTCTTTCTCTTTTTCCTTTTTTTTTCGTTTCGTTTTTTCTTTTTTTTTTTTTTTTTCATTTTCTAATCAACCAAAAAAGAAAGAGAGAGAGAGTGAGAGAAAGAGAGAGAGAGATTGAGAGAAAAAGAGACCCGTCGGATATGTACGATTTTTACTGACTTCTCTCCCCTTTAATCAATACTTCTAACACACACAATAGGTGTCAAAAAAAAAAAACAAAAACCAAAAACAAAAAAAAAGAATTAAGAAAGATTAAAAAAAAAAAAAAAAAAAAAAGAAAGAAATAAACAGTACATATGTACATATATTTGTCAAGGCATTTCAATGTTCTATTTTTTTCATTTCTCTTTTACGAAAAATTACAGCCACATATTTTCGGATTTTCCACGAGTCGGAAAATGTGTACGTAGTAAAAGAAAAAGAAGAAGAAAAAAAAACAAAAATAACGAAAAAGAAAAAGGAAAAAAGGAAAAAGGAGAAGAAGAAGAAACAAATAAAAAAAAAAAAAGGAAAAGAAAAATTAGAATTTACAAAAATCCATCCTCCCATTTGTCTAACACAAAGTATATATACAATATAATGTAATAAAAGCTCTGCGCTTCGATTAACCGATTAATTAGCAAACAGCCTGACTGATAAATCGTCACTTACGCTATATTTATATATATATGTAGTATACGTACGTATTATATAAATATATGTAAACAACAATAACAACAACAATAACAACAACAAGAATACAAAGATAATATGATGGTGTATGAACACACGCACACAGAGCCACGCACTCATACACACACATACACACACACACACATACACATACACATAGAGATTAACGAGTCTATAGAAAAAAT